TGCTTGTGCCTGCACACCTGGTCCAATGTCTGCGATGTAAGCGGAACATACAGACAGGAACAGCAACAAGCTGATTGGGTACATTTGGAAAAGTTGGAGACCGTGTGATGAATTGGGTGGTCGATATATAAGCAATGACAAATAGATGGAGGTGGGGGACAGCCAGAGTCCGAAGGAATTGTCTGGCTGAGCGATGATTTTTCAAAAGAAAATAATTAGTTCTGCAGACCCTACCTTGTGTGGGAGCTTCTATGCACTGGGCCTGTCTTTTTTGCAGAACCCATGGGATAAGTCTTGACTAATGAGATGGTGTGATACGATGTGACCGCCAACCGTGGAATAGAGATGGACCCAAGGACTGAGTCTGATATGCAGCTCTACAGACAGTAGCGACATGGACGGCCCAAGGATTGTGTGCTCTGCACGCAGCAATGCCATGGTACGAAATTTCTCTCTCAGCATTTCACCTTTAAGGATCGGCATTTCAGCTTTCTTGACATAATAAGTTGTTAAAGTAATGCAAGTCATGAGTTCCAGTAATTAATCGTGGTTGAGCATTAGTTAACCACTTCAAAGCAAAGAGAAGGGGTGATCCGTAAAATATCTAACTAAAACCAGCATGTTACAATCTGATTGATTGCTTGTTCGATACAGGAAATCCAAACAAATTAGCCAATTAGGCACTGCGCAGCCTAGCTCACGTACGAACTAATTGAAAGATGATCTGACGAGTGAACTTACGTGAAAGCGGGGGATCCCATGTCAAGAGGAACCCATCTTTGAAGAACTGCTCATAGTCGCTCGCGTTCGCCCCGGCCGACGAGCCCGGCACCGGCACCACGACCGCAGCGCAGCCCTCCAGAGTGTAATTTCTGTACTTCCCGGTGGCGTCGTGAGGCACTCCTGCGCGGGCAAGCACCTCCCACTCATTCCCACACCTCATGCTCGTTGGCACCAGGTATCTGTCCCGACGTGCCAAGGCCGCCGCCGCTGCCTCGTCCGTGCAGTTGTACAAGATGAGGTTCAGGTTGACGGGGTTGATCCTGAACGGGCGGTTCAGCTTGTCTGAGGTATTAAAAAATGGTTCACGGCAGCTGTTGCTGGCCTGAAGCACGTTCAGCTTGCCCAGATCGACAACATGCAAGCTGAGTTCCTCGTAGGAGATGTTGAGGATTTCAAAGCCCTTGTTGAATGTTGGAGGTCGGGATGGAGGGAGCGGAGTTCTAGGAAGCCGTCGATCCCGGCGGCGCCGAGTACGCAAAGGGCGTGGCGAAGTACCGGAAGGATCGTCAGGCGTTAACAGCGATCTACTCTGCCATGCCGAAGGATGTGCTGCAACACCTCGTCGGAAAGAACTCGGCGAAGGAGGCATGGGAGACCATCAAGATCCTGCACCAGGGTCATGACCGTGTCAAGGAAGCACACCTTCAGTCCCTGATGAGAAGCTACGAGTGCCTGAAGATGGATAAAAGTGAGATGGTTGATCAGTTTGCCGCCCGTCTCAAGACCCTCGTCAATGGCATACACAGCTATGGTTCAACCCTAGAAGAAGTTGCGATCGTCCGGCGATTTTTGCGCGCCGCGCCGGCACGCTACATTCAGATCGTCACGTCGATCCAGCAATGTCTCGACCTGAAGACTCTCACGGTCGAGGATCTCGTCGGAAGGTTCAAGGCACACGACAAGAGAATTCGTCTCAGTTTCGGCGACGCGGAGGCGAGTGAGCACCTGATGTTGACAAAGGCGCAATTTACCGCCCTGCTGAAAGAAAAGCAAGGCAGATCCACGAGCAGCGGCAAGAAGAAGGGGAAAGGGAAGCAGCACTCGGCGAGAAAGAGCTTCGCCGACACGGACGACGAGGCTGCACCTGAAGCACCGAGGAGGAAGTTTGACATCAGAAAAGTAAGGTGTTATAAGTGTGGCCTCCTCGGTCACTTCAAGGCTGACTGTGAGGAAGCACCGAAGCAGAAGGCACTCATGGCCGAGGAAGGAGACGACGGGAATATGATGCTGATGTGTGAGCTAGTGGACGAGGAGGATCCAGATGATCTTGGTCAGCTGGACACATGTCCGGTGAGTGCATCCGCGCCAGTATACCCAGGCGAAGTTGTGGCGCCAGAAGACTATGACCAAAGGCGTGATAGTGTGGTTACGTCAGTAAACACGGGCGAAGTCGTGGCGCCAGAAGACCATGACGAAAGGCGTGACAGTGTGGTCACGTCAGAATCAGGCGAAGTCGTGGCGCCAAAAGACCAGGACACAGGGCGTGACGGTGTGGTTGCTCTAGAACCAAGCGAAGTCATGGCGCCAGAAGACCATGAAGCAAGGCGTGACGGTGTGATCACGCTAGACCCAGGCGATGACGTGGCGCCAGATGACCACGATATGTGGCAAGCTACACTCGGGCCAGACAAGCATGACACATACACAGTGTCAAGTGGTGCAACGAACAGCATGAACGTCGTATGCGGCAGGTGCGTGCCAGGTGTGCCAGGAGACCAAGACACGAGTGGTGATGCGTCAGCTTCAGCTAGTCCGTCTGTAAAGGAAGTCGTGCGTGCCGCATACGAGCAGGTGGCCGACGAGGGGCTATGCATGCACGTGGGCAGCAGCAGCATCGGAGCTGGTGCACGGACTAGTGCTGCTCCTGATAGGCCAGAAGGACGTGGCCACTACAAGTCGTATACTACAGCTCCATTGGAAAAATCACCACCACGTGGTGGCCAATCATGGAGAGAAGGGGTGCAAATCCCAGTAAATTTGCAAGATGCACTCGGTTCAGAAAAGACTGCAGGTGGGAGTTCATCATCACGTGGAGGACTAGTGAATGAGAACGGTCCAGAAAAAAGTGATGGGCTTAAAAGCCTAGGAAAAAGATTGGGTGTGCCAGAAACTAAAACTTTGGCAAGTTTAGAAGCAGAAGTGTCTTCTCCAATAGCACAGGAACGACGTGTCTTGGACATCTCTTCAGAAGAAGTGCTTCAAATAAATTCGATGAAGATGAAGAGTAAAGGTGAACGAAGTTCGCACATCGAGGAACTAGAAATTTTTGAAGTCACAAATATGAAGGAGTGTTGGCGTCGTGCTATGGATGAAGAGTTGAGATCGATCAGAGACAATGATACATGGGCGATCGAGGATCTTCCCAACGGACATAATGCCATAGAGCTCAAGTGGGTGTACAAAGTCAAGAAGGATGCCAAAGGGAACTTGGTGAAGCATAAAGTAAGGCTCGTGGCTAAACCAAACGTGCAAGACCAAGGTATGGACTTCGAAGAAGTGTTCGCTCCACTTGCAAGGATGGACACGGTGAGGCTACTTATAGCTCTCGCGGCTCAAGAATCTTGGAGGATACATCATATGGATGTGGACTATGCGTTTTTGACTGGTGAGTTAGAAGAAGAGTTGTATGTGAAGCAACCACCGGGGTACATCCAAGAAGGAGAGGAGCACAAGGTATTGAAGCTACACAGGGCGGTGTACGGGCTACGACAAGCTCCTCGGGCATTGAATATTAAGCTTGACCGTACATTGATTTCTCTTGGATTTGAGAAAGCCCCACCAGAGTATGCAATGTACAAGCAAGGTGAAGGCAAGGATCGTCTACTAATGGGCATCTATGTGGATGATCTTTTGATAACTGGAGCAGACGAAGAGGTGATTGCCAACTTCAAGCTACAAATGAAGGAGCTATTCAACATGACTGATCTAGGGCTCTTGAGTTACTACCTTGGAATCGAGGTACAACAAAAGCCAGAGGCGATCACAATATGCCAAGAGGCCTATGCAAAGAAGGTACTTGAAAGTTGTGGCATGAAAGATTCCAATCCAAGTCATGTTCCGATGAAGCCTCGTCTTATGCTAAGCAAGGAAAGTGAAGCACGCGCGGTTGATGCAACGGAGTATAGAAGCGTGGTCCGAAGGTTGAGGTATCTCACAAATACAAGACTAGACTTGGCCTATTCCGTTGGCATGGTGAGTCGCTTCATGGAAGCACCCACGATGGAGCATTGGGCAGCTGTGGAAAATATACTCAGGTACATCAAAGGGACAACAAACTTCGGTTGTGTCTATTTGAGAAAGAAGAAGAAGGAGATGGTGGAGCTACTTGGCTACAGTGATAGCGACATGGCAGGAGATGTGGACGACCGTAAAAGTACGTCGGGCGTGGCATATTTCTTGGTAGAAAGCATAGTGAGTTGGCTATCACAAAAACAGAAGGTGGTCGCATTATCATCTCATGAAGCGGAGTATATTGCAGCTGCAACCGCGGTGTGTCAAGGCGTGTGCCTTGGAAGGCTACTCAGTGACCTCACAGGTAAGGAACCAGAACGAGTGGTGCTCAATGTTGATGACAACTCTACAATCTCTCTGTGGAAGAATCCAGTGCATCATGCTCGATGCAAGGACATCGATACGAGATATCGCTATCTAAGGGAATGTGTGGAAGAAAGCAAGATCGACATCAACTATGTTTGCACCGACGACCAGCTTGCAGATATCCTAACTGGATCTTTGGGACGACAGAAGTTCGTGAAGATGCGGCAAAGGATCGGTGCTCAAGCTATGAAGTGAGGACATCGTGTTTAGGGGGCTGATTGTTGGAATTAACCACGATGAGTAGTCCTAGTCCGGTTTGGACAGGAGCAAGTCACCACGTAGTATACTAGGATTAGAACTTGTAGCCGTGTAGGTTTGCTTGTGTTTGATCCTAGCTGCTATATATACGTAGGTATACCCCTGTAACTTGAATCAGATCGATACAAAGGAATCAAACGGGAGCGACACGCTCCCGTGGCCATAATATCGCGTGCGTATTCGTGTGCCTCCGCGAGTTGTGCTAGTTACGATCGAAGACGCCGGCGGCTGGTTGTTTCGTTTGTGCGTGTGCTAATGACCTAGCTACGTGCGTGAGGAATCCATCCACCAGCTAGTCTGCTTGCTTGCTCCTTTGTGTACATACGTATCATCGGACAGAATCAATTGTCTAGCTAGTGTCGCTAGCGGCGGCTGCGTACGAAGTCGTCTCGACGGAAAGTACTCGTCGAGTCGGGCGTAGCCAACATCGAGCTCCGTAGTGTCGGAAGGGTATTCTTGCAGGTGACCTCGAAATCCAAGGAACCGCACGGTCTCTCAACCTTTTCAGTAGAGAGCCAGAACGGATGGGAGATGATGACGTTGCCGCACTTCTTGGCCGAGCAGTCTCCGCCCTGCTGCTCCTCGGCCACCACGAGCATCATCAGTGGCAGCCACCACACTCCGGCGAAGACCAAGAACCAGCAGCAGCTCATGGGCGAAGAGATTTGAAGAGATAGCAGTGAACAACAGAGAGGGCGTGTGGCTGGATTCGATGTTCATGGGATATGGGAATTGGGAAGGTAAATTTGCACACGTAAGAGATAATACTGCTGTTCAAGCTTGAACCACATATATATGGCCACCACACGCTAGCGAAGACCAAGAACCAGCAGAATAATCTGGCTAAGAATGAATGGCATATGGTGGGGGCAACGGTCGTACTCCCTCAGTCCCGAAATACTTATCCTAGGAATAGTTGTATTTAGACTTATTTTATTTATAAATACATCCATTTTTAGGACAAGTATTTCCGGACGAAGGGAGTACGTCTAACATGGGAACTCCACTAGTATCCCAATTGACGGGGCCAACATTATGAGTGGCTGCTGATCAAGTGGTGGGTGCAGGACTTTTCAGATAAGTCGATATTACGAAATGATCTTGAATAGTCTCAGTGCCGTGAGCTGCCGGGCAGATCATATAGTCTTGTATTCCTCTCTCGGCATTTTGCGTTTAAGAATCTTTATTCCAAGTTTCTTGACAAGATAAATAGTTAATGCAAATCATGAGTGCCTCTAGGCAGTAATTAGTCGTTGCCGAGATATTACCGTGAATTTTTTTTTGAGAGAAAGGGGGGCTGCTTCCTCCAATTCCATTTTAAGAAACCATCTGGTATTCTTACAATCCCCCAAACTACAGGTACTTAGGACTCCAAAAGAACTTAAATTACCGTCGATAATTAGTTCAACACTTCAAAGCAAATTAAGAGCATCGGTGAAGAGTAGATAAAGAAGGTAACTGATTTTTAGAGGTAATAAGTTGCCCATTGATGACCCTCTTCTAAGTCCACAAATATTTTTTATGGAATGAAAAACAATTTGATGAGCGAGCGTTTCAAGAGGAAGCCATCGCTGATGAGCCGCCCGTAACTGCTCGCATTCGCCTCGCCATATACCCCAAGAACCGGCAGGAAGGCAGAGGTGCACCCCTCGTACTTTTCTGAACCATTGTGGCGCCCTCCGACTCGAACAAATGTGTTTCTCTTGTCGCTGCATCTCAACTCGATCAGCGCCCGGTCCTGATGGGCGGCCACTGTTCCAGCCTCCTCTATGCAGTAGTACAAGACGAGGTTTAGGTTGACTGGGTCGATCCTGAACGGAAGGCTGAGTTTGATGGAGGTGTTCCAGAATGGGACTTGGCAGCTGTTCTAGGTGTGCAACAATTCCAACTTGCCTAGATCGATGACGCGCATGTTGTGTTCCTCATAGGAGATGTCAATGATTGCGAAGCCGGGACCGGGGGTACAGATCTCCGGAGAGCTGGAGTAGTATCGTTGAAGCACGTGACCTCATAGTCGGAGCTGCCACACGATCTTTCTGCCCCCGTGTTAGTGAGCCGAGCCGAAGCAGCCTTCCACTTGTTCTTCCTCACCTGCTGCCACGAGCATTAGCGGCAACTACCAGGCCGAGACGAAGATAAAAAACCAGCAGCTAGGAGGCATCAGAGCATATAAGGCTTGGAATTGGTTTCAGCGACAAAACGAAGGAGGTGGCCCTGTCTGTTGATGGAGCTTTCCTACAGTCTGATGGGTCAGCAGTGGCAGGGATGGTATTGAGGAGACATGATGGGAGTGTGATTTTCTCGGCATACCGATGCATCTTTAATTGCAATGAAGCACTGGAAGCGGAGTTGCATGCGTTAATGCAAGGTATGGCTCTGGATATCCATCATTGTGAGCTACCTATCATTGTCCAGTCGGATTCGTCTGTCGCCCTCTCCGCCTTGACTGGCGACAAGTTATCCAGATCTGCATACCGGCTTTTAGTCGCTGAGATTCGTCATCTTATGGTAGATAGAGTTTTTATTCCATCGAAAATTAGTCGTGTGCAAAATAGGGTAGCAGATCGTTTGGCCATGTATAGTCGTACAGAGAGTACTACTGCGGTATGGCTTGGACGAGGTCCACCATGTGTTGAGGATCTCTTGCCTCGTGATTGTAATCCTATGCCTATGAAATAAAATTCTTCTACCAGCGCAAAAAAGAAGAAGAAGGAGGTATCTGAATTGGAGATGAACTTATCATGGGCTATGTGGAGATAGAACTCAGGGAGAATATGTATCACTAGTAGAAAACATGGCATTAGGCCCCGTTCATAAGGGCCCTTAGTCCCATTTGTGCAACCGGGACTAAGGAATCGGGACTAAAGGCCCCCAAATTTTAGTCCCGATTGTGTTACGAACCGGGACTAAAGGGGCTCCATGTGGCCGTTGTGGGGTGCTTAGGAAGCAGGACCTTTAGTCCTGGTAGGTAACACAAACCGGCACTAAAAGGCCACCACGTGTCAGCCCCTGCCAAGCGCTATTTATTTTTGAAAGGAGGGGTTTACAACTTTTGGAGGGTTTAGGGGTTTCATATTGTGTTTCCCTTTTCTTTTTATGTTTACCATTCAATTTTTTTTTATTTAGGGTTTTCATTTTCATTTTAATGTTTTCCATTCAACTCGACGCTAGCTACTACATATAGCAATGAAGAAACCATTACACAACATCGTCATGATTATAGATAAGCGACCTTTTTTTCTCTGTGCTTGGTCCAACAACAAGTTTTCGTATATCTATTCGACGTTACTACATATAGTACACGTTCATGCATATATACAATATAACATCTCTTACGATTCTTAATATCTAATTGGCAAAATCGCATTCCAATTCCCGGTGGTATTCTCTCTTTGTATGTATGACCTCTTCAAGTAAGAATCCCGCCAATTCCTCTTGAATCACTCGTATGCAATCCTTCGGTAGGAGTTTGTCCCGCTTCCTTGGATCTAATTTAAAGAAGAGGGTCAACAATATATATATCACACAGGGTGCAGAATAAGTTATTCTTCACCCGAGGTAATCTTATGATCATTTCATAAATAAATTATATTTGAAATACAAATAGTGACATTCATATTGATTTATTGCATAAAATTTGGCATAACAAAAAAATATATAGATCAAAAATTGTATTTTATATACATTTTACACTATGTTTTTACATTTGTAATTTTACGTAACATAATTTTTTTTACGACCATTATAAGTTTTCTTACGTTCTCTTTTTATGTCTAAAATAAGACAAAATTTACGAAACGTAAGATTACGGTGCATAGATGTTAAAATAGAGGTGGGTGAAGAATAATAGCGCGACCCTATATTTCTTTAGTGTCTTTACGTTTCGAGTCCATGACAATTACTTCTCCTGCATCAAGCTGAATGGCTAGCACAAGACAGTAACACTCACTTGAAGTTGTAAGGAAATAGTATTTCTGTTCTGGTTTGTTGTCCAATTAACGCCTTTAGCAAGTTTTTCGATGTATCCTTGGCGCTGTTTGCTACCATAAATTCATGTACGGTATTTGGGTTAATGAACAAAATGTCATATATTTGTCCTCTTTTTCATTCGAGAATTTTCAATCTGCAAAATATAGTGAGGATAATTATACATGCAATGAACGAGCAGAGCTAGAGACTTAATTATAGAAATAATACTTACAGACAATAGCAACTGATGATTGTTTTGTCGAGGACGTCTTGATTGTATAACTGAGATAATTCATCAAATTCAACATACATCTACTTGACTCCATTGAAGAAATGCTCATTTCTAATTTCCACAAAGATCATGTTGCTCCCTTCCTTTGAGCCTTTCAAGTATCAGTCATGCAATCTTTGCATTTGTGTTGGTAGATGCGGGAACTCCTCAGGTCTGACGAGAGACTTCCCGTGCTCGTATCTAAAGGCTAAATCAGCCATGAGGAACTCTCCATGCTTGCATAAGTATTGACCAAGAGTGAAAGAAACCTTCGGATCAATAACGATATTGGAAGACACCTTGAGAGGGAGGGGGGTGGGGGGCACGATTGGTTTTTCGGTTCTCCGAGCTAGTGAATTGTTCCCCCCTGCACTACTACTACTTCCCGACTGCTGTTGTTCTCTATGTGACTTGATAATGGAGCGGTCATAGTTTGATAGCAGCGGAGGCGGCGGTGGTCCCGTAAGGTTTTCCAGACAGCGCTCCGCTTTTGCTGGATCTATTTTCACCTTTCGCTCGGGCCGTGTCGGTACAAGCTGGCGTTTCACTTCGCCATCCACGACCTTCTTGAGTTCCTCATCACTCCGTTGGTATGGTAACTTGGCAGGAGCCTCATTGACGCTTATTGTACCTACTATGGGTTTCTTCACAGTTGTACTACTAGCCGTCGGAGCGACGGTTCTCTTCCACCGGGGTTGAGGCAGCGGAGGAGGCAGAGTCTGATGACGCGACGGAGTATGTCGAGGGGCCTCCTCCGGTGGAGTCTGCTGATGCAGCGGAGACAGCTGACGCGGCGAAGTCCGCTGACGCGGCTGAGGTGGCTGAGGCAGTAGAGTCTGCTGAGCGGCGGAGTCTGCTGAGGGGCCTCCTCCGGTGAAGTTTGCTGATGAGGCATCCAATGTGGAAGCAGAATGTGTTCCTTTCTCCATAGAATGATAGTCCTTCTGGCATATCCCAGTTCAATCTCCCTTTCACCTGTAGGGTACTCGAGCTCCAGCTGCTCAAATCCATTGATAATTTCATCCACTCCGACAACAGTATAGCCATCTGGAATTGGAGAACAATGGTAAGTTACATCAGGTACACTAGGTAAGTCATAGCCGACTGCCACCTTCACGGATATGTTCATGCATTTCACATGTAGATCACATAGTTCCCTCTACGTGATATCATGCATGGGGTAGCGAGAAGCCATGATATCATCTATGGGCCGAACGAGCTCCGTGGAAGCCACACTGCTTTTCTGCTGAGATGGTGGGTAGCTCCGTGCGCAGTATCGAATGTAGGATCCTCCTGCCGCTGAGATGGGTCGGTAGCTCGCTGGCTAGTAAGTGCCTCTGTTTGCTTCTGCTGCAATGCTACTATTTCTTCTACCTTCTGCAACCGGTCTACATCATATTTCTTCTTTATTCT